GGCACATCTGAGGTCCTTCTCGCAGGGACAGATGTGGGGAAACAAGTCAGGTGAAAGGAAGGACATGAGGACAGAGTCCCAGTGCTAGGATGATTGCTTCGGGGACACTGCCGAGAGCTGGGAGGGCCCAAGCTGTTGGGGTGGTGCGCCCCCATGACAGCCAGGGGTCCCGCACAAGAAGGGCCATCCCCACTGTCCCCCAGAGTTCCAGCCCTCAGAGCAAAGCCTCAGGTTGGAGGATCAAAGACAAAAACGGAGGGATGACAGTCAAGGACACACGCGGATCTGGCCTGGCTCTGGGGTCTCTGCAGTAAATATTCTCAGTCAGTGAGAATGGGCTCTGGTTTAAGGTCCCTTGTGATCAGGTGAGGCGTGAACCACATTCTTTCAAAGTCAGGGTCAGGGGCAGGGGTGGGGGGGCAGCGGCATTGGGTTCCAGCTTCTTATTTCCGGGATGCATTAAAAACTTCAAGATTATTGAGCACCCCAACAAGTTTCTGGTCATTTACGTATATCCAAGTATATTTACTATATTGAATGGAAGAAGTTTTAAGTGTATTTTTTTAACTTAATTTTATATTTTCAGTTTGTTACTGATTTTAGAGGGAGAGGGAGGGAATGACACAGAGAAACATCAGTTTGTTATTCTTCTTATTTATATGCGCATTGGACCATTTCTTTGGTGCCCTGACTGGAGACTGGACCCAAGGCTCGGTTTATTGGGACAACGCTGTTACTGACATACCCACCGAGGGTTATTATTCTGATTTAAAGGACGTTTAAAAACTGGTTATAGACTGATATAAATAAACAAGTTTGTGAAAAAAAAAAAAGAACTTGTATGTGGAGCAAAATAAATACTAGCGAAGGGTGTGGCATTGACTTGCTTTGCAAATCATATGTCTGGCTGATACTAGGAGACTGGGTGCACTTTTCTGCCCATTTAAGAACTCTGAGACCTGTCAAGATTTATGAGTTAATTTAAGCCAGACGGATGACATGGAGGGAAACAAAACCCAAATGTCCTGTAAAGAAAGACCGATTTTCACTTTCTTTCCTGCATTTGGAAGGAGGGAGGGAACCCAACGCTTACATCAGAGTGGGAGAAAGGAGAGGAGAGAAGACCCCGTGCTCCTTGGTTCAGTGAAGCAAACTGCTCAGAGCAAAGCACCCCTGGGGCAGAGCACGAACATGAAGATGGCGTGGCTGTCAGAACAGGGCTGGGAGGCCACCCTGGGATCCAGTCCTGCGTGGCGCTGCCCGCATCATCTCGGGGCCTCCACTCGGCTCTACCCGACAGCACAGTGAGCAGCTTCCAGGAACCCTAAAGTGCTGGGGCTCAGAGAAAGGGGCGGGCTTCCAGGGAGCAGAGGCCCCGCCCCAGGTCCGTGATTGGTCCGTCCCATGCAAATAAGGACTTTGTGTTCTAAAATTGGAATGGCCCCAAATGCGCTGTCCTGATTGGTCAGAAAAGAGGCACCCTGATTGGTCAGAGGTGCACAGCCCCTATTGGATGGAGAAAGTTTTAGTGGTCTTTATTGGTTGACTTGGGATTGCTGGAACTTCCTTGTAAGGGCTGGCTCAGAGGGCGGGCGGGGTGCTGGCAGGCGGTTCAGCACAGGCTTCTCTGTTTTTGCGGGAGAGGCCACTGTGCACCAATGGCTGCTGGGCTGTTTTTTAAAAATTCAAGCTGAGTTAGCTACCAAGAGCCCTTTTAGTCGAAGTCTTTTTTCCCTTCAAAGTTCACACTGCCATTCAAGTGATTCACACGGCCCACATCCTCCGGGTCCTCAAGAAAGGCCAGTCCCGTGGTGCAGCGTCGGCACAGGAGGGAGAAGTGCGCTCACATGCCAGGGCATGGACGGGAGTGGTCTCAGTTAGTGCTTGTCCTGTGTCAGGCTGCTGGGGAGCAGCTATCGGAGGTGGCCTTGACCGTAGGAAGAGTGGCCAGGGACCTGGGGCCCGACCGTCATTGAAATCAGGGATGACTAGGCGTTTAGGAGCCAAAGACACCCACACATAAACAATCCACTGATCATTTTGAACATACGACTGAAAGTGACTCCTACACTTATATTTTATTTTTTCCTTTTGGTTGTTACATTTATTAAAGCCAAGGGCAGGGGAACAAGGAAAGGCATAGGACAGTAGAAGCAACAGGAGGGACGCTAGACGGGGCTGCTCTGGCTCAGTGGGAAGTCACAGGAAAGGGGGCCTGGGACTCAGGTTCAGGGAGATGGTCTGGGAAAAGCTGCCCCTGCTTGTTGCCCCCTGGCTGCGTGTCTCCCGGGATCTCTGAGAGTTTAGGAGATGCCTGCCTAGGGGGACTGAGAGGAGAAGGGAAGGCTCAGGTGTGCTCCCCGGAGGGAGGGCACTTGTATTAGCGCATTTCAGAAGGTGTCCTCCCTGACAGGTGTGTGGGAGTGCCCAGGGGAAAGGGCCCCGAGGTCGGCCACTCTAAAAAGCGTCAGGTAAATAAACGAATAAGAACAGGGATAGATTATAATGAAGTGAGCATGTGCAATAAAATGTTCACTGTGAACAGAAAACACAGACTCCTGCTGACAGAGGAGGGGTCAATCCGGGTGAAAATCCGAATGCAGCACAGAGAAGGCTCGGAGGGCAAATGATCTCAGTAACAGACCCCACCCCCCACAAAAAATGTCCTAAATTTCCTTTTCCTGTGGCTCCATGGCACCACTGTCGCTGAAAACCTGGTATTGAATTATCTCTGAGTCCATCAGAGACTGATTTCGGAGGTGCCGGGGAAGGTGGCCCGCGTCTGCTCTCTGTGTGATCACACTCCCCTGGAATCTGGTGCAAAGATGTCCGCAGAGGGCCACAGTGACCGTGAAATTCAGGCTCACTTCCGGCACACATTAACAGCGGTTAATTTGTCTTCATTCTGCTGTAATGTCCATTATGATATGAAAGACATAAAGCAGGAGAATATACTGAAATACCAATCACACACACCCACACCCAGGACTGATTCACACAGGTGACCGCAGAGGCTGGGAGTCAGGGCTGGAGCTGGTCTGCGCTGCTCCAGGCAGGGGTGTCCAACCTTTTGGTGTTTCTGGGCCACACTGGAAGAAGCAGAGTTGTCTGGGCCACACAGTAAATACACAAACAGTAAAGAAAATTGATGAGCCAAAAAAATAGGCTCATGCATAATTTTCCCAATATTCAGTGTCACAGATAAGCAAAAATGTCCTTACATAATCACCTGAATTATGCAGCGGCCCTTTCAATAATCTTTTAAAATCATCAAGCAGTTCCCAAGTTTTTGATATCCAGTATAGAAAATGTACATATCTGAGTTATAAAACTTAGTATAACACTAAGTAATCTTTTCAATAAATGTACTGTTTTGTGTTGGGCTGCATTCATAGCCTTCTCAGGCTACAGGGGCCCTGGGGCCCATGGTTGGACACCCCTGCAGCATCCACATTCTCGCTAACCTGGCCTACTGGTCTCTGCCCAGGAACTGATGAGACAAAGCTCTGGGCCTATCAGAGAGCAAGGGTTTGAAACAGGAACTTGACACTCTTTCCCTTGGTGAGCACCCTTTCTTCTTCCCCACCCTTTCTTCCAGATCAGAGACTCATCTATAATAAAGAGCCATTTAGTACCTTTGCTCTGTGATTTTCATCTGGGAGAGTGAAGGGTATTCACGGGGAGCTGGTGAAAGCCAGGGCCCCCAGGCCTCCTTAGGAGGGAGGTTGAGGCGCTGGGGGAGCCTGCAGAGCGTCCCCGCACCCAGAGAAGGAGTGTGGGGCTGTGAGCCGGCAGGTGAGGGCACAGGGGAGCGTGGAGCAGGGCAGGTAAGGTCTGCACTGGGACACCTGTGGGAGGGAGACAACGGGAACCAGGGAGCTGGACACCTGCCCGTCCCTGGGAACTTCCTGTGGTCAGAGAGGGGCAAGGCCTCTCACGGTCTCTCCTGCTCGTCTCGGGGGGCCTGTTCTACGAGATTCTAGGAGAGAGGTGTGTGTCTTAAGAATTTATTTGTCAAGATGCTTATTTCAGGATTATTTGTAATATAGAAAAATATGAACCAACTGCATACACAACAGTTGGAGAGTAAAAGGATCAGCAACCCATTGTCTGACTTCAGAGGAGACATTTCAGTCCATTTGTCTGTCAGTCATCTCCTCTTGGAGAAATGCCTATTCAGGTCGTCTGCCCTTTTTAAAAAAAACAAATTGTTTGGTTTTGGGGTGCTAAGTTGCATGAGTTCTTCATAAATTTTGGGTAATAAGCCCCCCTTTTTGGACAAATATCTTCTTCCATTCTGTAAGTTGTCTTTTCATTTTGTCCATGATTTCCAGTGCTGTGCAAAAACTTTAGACTTTGATAGTGTCCCATGTATATTTCTTTTGTTGCATTGCCCGGGGACACATATCCAGAAAGATATTATTAAGAGCGTTGTCATAGTGTTCATTGCTGATGTTGTTTATAGTTTCATGGGTTCCATCCTTACATTTAAATTTTTAATGTATTTTGCTTTTGTTTATTCTTGTATATGGTGTAAGAAAGTGACCCAGTTACAGTGTATTGCACCTCCAGCTTTCCCGGCACAATTTGTTTTTGGGAGAGAGGGAGAACGAGAGGGGGAGAAACATTGATGAGAGGGGAAAACATTGATTGGTGGCCTTTTGTCCATTAAAAATAAACCTTTGTATTAATGTCTGATTTTATTTTCTTTAGGAGCTATTCCTATAAGTGAAAAATGGATGTGTGGGTAAAAAGACAAAACATTTTTAAGACATTTCAGATTATATGTATATACACAAAATACATCCAGGAATATTAACATTTATATGGGGGCAAAGTAAACGATTACCAACATAATTTTTTTGAAAATTTTATAGGTATTATTTGCAATTAAAATGGTCAAAATAATGAATAAAAAAACAATAAATATCTCCGCAAAGGAGTAGAAGTATATTCCTCACTCTGAAAACTTTTAAAATTTAAAACATTCTGATAATTTTCAAAGTACAGGGTGCAAAGGCCGTGGATTCTGCTCTGGATGGGATGGGGGCCCCTGGGACGGGCTGAGCAGCACGGAGGTGAGGGGTCAGGAAGTCCTGGCTGCTGTGCGGAGCGTGGCCTGCAGGGGGCAGCGGTTGAATCCAGGACGTAGTGGGAGGGGCCTGTATTACTCACAGGGTGATGATGGGGGGCGCACCTGGCTGGGCAGGGAAGTGTGGGTGAGCGGAGGGCTTCTGATCATCTTCGCACAGGACGACCGAGGAGTCCCTGATGGCGAGGGTTAAGGTACGTGCATTACTGTTCCATGTTTCATGGGTGATTTCCGTGTTGGAATCCAAGGTGAAGACAGGTCCTGGTGGACATTTGCAGGAAACTCTGTCCTGTTAGAAGGGATCAGGTCGGACCTGGGGACACAGATTATCCATGTGGAATTCCCCACCTTCTCCCAGGTCGTCACTGTTGCCCAGCCCCTGCTGGCGTGTCCCCCTCTCTGCCCAGCAGGGAACGATGGTGAGGCGCCTGGTCCCCCGTCTGCCTGCCCTCCCTGTCTGCCTCGCCGTGGTCCAGCTGCTCAGCCCCTGCTCAGGTAGGACCTGCTCTGCGTTCGTGCATCTGAAGCCTTTCCCTTGGGGCCCAGTCAGAACCCTGGACTCCCCCCACCCCTGCAAGGCCCGTCCAGACCCACCTGTGTGAGGACTGAGTTCCTGTCTAGGTGTCTCTCCCCTCGCCCTCCCTGCTGGGGCACCCCCTGGTCGTCTGGCCCCAGCTCCCTCTGACGGAGCCCCCCCTTCTGATGACCAGCTCAGTTTGCTGTGGTTGGACCCCGTGAGCCCATCCTGGCCATGGTGGGTGAAGACGCTGAGCTGCCCTGTCACCTGTCCCCGGAGATGAGCGCTGAGACCATGGAGCTGAGGTGGGAGCGACCCAGTCTCAGGCAGGTAGTGCCCACGTATGCCCAGGGGCAGGAGGACATGCCGGCAGCAGAGTATCGAGGGAGAACTTCGATTTTAAGAGAGGACATCACTGCGGGGAAGGCTGCTCTCCAGATTCGGGACATCAGAGCCTCTGACAGAGGAACCTACCTGTGCTATTTCCAATATGGAGACATCTATGCAAAAGCCCAGGTGGAGCTAAAGGTTGCAGGTGAGCCTCATATGTTTGACCTGCATTCGCTTTTCCTAGGGTCAAGGGCACAGGCTTCAAGCCCACCTGAGAGCACTCTCAGGTCCTCAGCAACACCTGCCCCCACTGTTCTGAGACCTGACTGCTGAGTGGTCTTGACTTTGTCCTGACCCGTCCCAGGGACAGAGTGACCTTGTCTGAGGTGCTGCCCCATGAAAGTGCTCGTGTCCGGGTGTCAGGGCTGCACTTCACCTTCTCAGGACACAGCCCTGCCCTGGGCTTCTGCCTGGTGGGTCCCTGGGGAGCCTGGCAGGGGATGGACTGTGGGGGGTCCTGGCTTTGTCCCTGCAGGGCCTCCTGAGCCAGACTCTGTCCCTCCCTGTAGATCACAGGTCCTTTGAAGAGAGTCCTCCCCACAGGACTCTGTCCTCTCAGGTCTGTAAGAGGCTTCCTCCTGCACCCCTTGTGTTTAGGGATTCAGTGTCAGTAGGAAAAACCCCACAGTTCCCGGCCTGGGTCAGCGCTCTTCTGTGGAGAAGTGTTCCCCTCTCCACAGTCAGGTGATACAAACTTCCCACGGTGGAGGGGCCCCAAAGGAGGCTGACACCTGCAGCGTTAATTACATCAGAGTTTCCCACAGGGACAAGCATACACAGCACACAGCTAGGGCGGCAGCAAGACCAATTGCAGATCCTTCCCCCACACGGCAGGGCAGAGGCTCACACAGGACAGACAGGAAGGATAGGGGCAAGGGGGTGGGACCTGCTTCAACTAACAGGGAACTTACATCCTTGCCCAGGGTGGGGTGAGGGGCTTTTCCAGGAACCAGCATGTCTGGGCCATGGGGGAGGGGACGGCCCAGCAGTCTCTAAGGGGATTCAGGGGAAACAATGTCATTTCCAGCCCAGATCCTCCTGGATCCAGCACGAGGGTCCAGTGATGGTCAGGCAGTGGTCACACCGTAGGTCAGTCTCTCCTGCACAACACACTCTGGGACCAGCTCCTGTGAATCCCTGCTGGGCTCCTATAGGGTGCGTGTGCCCCTCCCTGTTGTGGAGACCCCCACCAGTGCAGAGGGCTCCCCGTGATTTAGACTCACTGTTCCTCCCCAGCGCTGGGCTCTGACCCCCACGTTGAAATGAAGCGCTATGAGGCTGGAGGGATCCGTGTGGAGTGCACGTCTGCCGGCTGGTACCCGCAGCCCCAGATCCAGTGGAGAGACGCCAGGGGACACAGCTTGTCTGCTGAGGTGGCCACAGAGGCTGCAGACCCCCAGGGCCTTTATGCAGCCTCAGCCTCTGTGATCTTGGAGGACAGCTCTGGGGAGGGGATCTCCTGTGTCATCAGAAACCCCCTGCTGGCCCAGGAGAGGTCAGCCAGGGTTTCCATCCCAGGTGAGTGCCCTGCCCACTGCCCTGGGCTCCTGGGTGGCCCCCGGGGGAAGGTGTGGTTGTCTGCTGCTGACCTGGGTCTGTGCAGGGAACAGAAGGGACAGAGCAGGGACCTGCTGCTCCTTCCCCATGAAGCTGTTTGTATCACAGACACCTTCTGAGCTCTTCCTGCGGCCACACACAGTGCCAGGGGATGGGAACTGGGGACAAAGGGTCAAGGTCAGCAAAGACATGGGAAAAGGGGAAAATATGTACAACGCAAATCTTAGAAAAAGGGCTCATCGTAAAATATAAAACAACCAAGTAGAACATTGAACACAGAACAGGAATTATCAGTTCACACAAAAGGAAATGACTCAGGAAAAGGTGTCCAATCTCCCTGACTAGGGACGTGATTTCCACCTGTGAGACTGGCAACAAAGGAAAAAGCAAGGTGGTTGTTAATACATTCTGATGGCAAAATTGTTGGGAGACAGTGACTCTTACAGGTTTCTGGCTACTGTTTGGTGTAGTTTTGGTGTCAGTGAGCACAACTTCCTCTGGGGACACCAGAGACACCTTATCTAAAGGACTCATTCAGTTATCCGAGATCCCACTTTTGGGAATTATCTGACACATCATTTTGTATTTGTGTGAACTGGCCCATGTAAAAGGTTATTTCCTGCACCATCAATCATTATAACAAAGAGTCAGAGACGGTGCAAGTGCCCCCGAGGGGCCGTGTGTGCAGGGGGCGCTGCCCCGTGAGAGCAGACACAGACCTGCCCCTGTGCTGAGGCGGGAAGGTTGTGCAGACCCAGGGTAAACAGTTTGTATAGACTGCTATTTTTGGTGTGAAGAAAAATATATAACAATATATATGTTTTAATTTAATAAACACGTCCAGGTTTCAAGGTGTGCCAGGTACTTTATAAGCATTAATTTAATCCTTTTACTAATGTGGACACCAGAAACAGGTGGTGAAGTCGTTAGTTCAAGGTCACAGAGCTAGTCAGGCAGAAGACTGAATCTGAACCCAGACCCTCCAGCCCCAAAGTTCACCACCTTCATCACCAGATCAGCTGACTCAGGAGAAGCTAATAAGTGGGAACTGAGGGAGTGGAGGGGACACTTGAAAATTTTGTAAATATGTCTGATATTCCAACTTCTCCCATGTGAGGGGCAGACATTTGAAGAAACTGCACTTACTATGTGACAGTAAGAGTTCTGGGCACTTTGGGAAGAGAGGGATCACTTTCCGTCCAGAGATGCCCCCCATCCCACTGGGCGAGATGCTGAGGCTCACCCTTCGCAGGCCCCTTCTTCCGGGAACGCGCAGCCCTGGGTGGTGGCCCTGGGCGTGACCCTGCCGGCGCTGCTCGGGCTCCTGGCGGGGGCGGGCTACTTCCTCTGGCGACAGCAGAAGAGGATCCAGGCCCTGTCCCAGGAGAAGGAGTGGGAGCGAGCAGACAAAGTAGCAGCTCAGGCGGAGGGGCGGCGGGAACGAGTCGCCAAAGGTGAGGCCCCGCTGCAGGTGGTCGTCACCTCCAGGCCCCAGCCCGCACCCACCACGGGGGTCCTCCCCTCGATTTCCTTATAAGAACTTTTCTTTTCCTGCTCTTTTCCAGAGAGGCTGCAGGATGAACTCAGTAAGTCCACGTCCTCGGCCCCCACGCGTCAAGGGTCCCTAATGACACTTGTGACTGACCCCCTCACGTTGTTCCCTGCAGGGTGGACAAGGACCTGGTACCTACCACGTGAGTACCGGACCCGCATCTCAGTGTCTGTGCTCAGATATTTCAGCCCCTTTCCTACCCCCTAACCGCCCAGGGGAGGGATGAGGACGCTGGTGGGGGGGGGGACCAGGCCGTGGTCTGTCTCAGGGGGAAGGGGCTGAGGTCTCTCTCCACCAGGGGGCGCTCGCACAAGACGCCCTGGGAACCCAGGAAACGGGAAGGGGCGGGGAGGTGACTCAGTGTGTGAGTCCTTCCTCCCTGGTTGATTCTCAAACTCTGTACCCGCTGAGAAGAAAAGCAGAAGGAGAGACAAAAGTGACTCTTAAAAAGGGGAGTGGCCAGTGTCAGCTGATACACATTTATTGTCACTGAGAAGAGCTAAGAGTATGTAAAAGTTTTTATTATTACATTGCCCAATTGTCAGCGGAAGACGCAGGAAATAGCACAGGCTCAGGTGGATGGGTTGTAGCACACAGGTACACAGACGTGTGTGCACAAGGCGATCCTGTGCCCAGGTACATCCAGGTACGGGAGTAAGGTGATCGCCCCTGATGTGAGTGGGATGCGGTCCAGGTCCCCCAGGGGCTGTCTGACCACGGACGGTACCACACCCTGAATGCACGAGGTTTTTCCTTTCCACGTAGAGAGGGCTTCTCCTTGGCACCCCAGCATCACAGCATCGCTGCTCTTGCTCGCTGGAGCTGCTATTGGGTAACATAGAGGTGACTTGAACACCAGCGCTGTGATACAGTGACTGTCCGTCTGTCACAGAGACGCTCCTCAGTGACTAGGGGGCTGTGGCACACAGGGGGGACGTGCTGGACTCGGGGGGACCCGTGAGGGGGCAGGTCAGAGCAGACAGCACGGAACCTCATCACGCTGCTCAGAGTGATGTGCAATTTAAAACTTGTGAATTGTTTATTTTGGGAATTTTCTCCTTAACAATTCACCGGCATTGTTCAAGAACGTGACTGAAAGTTTAGAAGGAAAATCTGGGGGATCAGGGTGACTGCTGCACAGACACGGACAAGACAGCTGTGCGGTGACCCTGGGACAGCCCATGCAGGGAACCTGGGGGTCCTGAGCTGCAGCTGATGGAAAGAGGAGGGGGGCGCCAGGGAGGGAACAGGCGGGGGGGGGGGTGGGGAGGGCGGGGGACACACAGGAAGATGACAGGGGGCACAAGGGAGAGAAAGGAACCAACTCAGAAAGGACAGTTCAGGTGACTGTCTGTCTCCATTGCAGGTGAGGAGCGGTCTCAGGTCTATGCAGGTGAGTGAGCCTGAGGCTCTCTGGTTTCCTGGCTCCTGTGGGGGAAGCACCTGCAGCCTTTCCTGCTGGGGGAGGGGCCATCCCGTCCCGCTCAGAGGCTCATTCTCTGTGTCTGCACCACCCCCTCCTGCCTGGTCACTCAGAGAGGACCTTCCAGACGCAGTGTCCCCTCACCCTGCTGACACCCACGCCCACACCCGGCACAGCCTGGTCGTGTCCCCACGGCCCCAGCGTGATGGGGGGAAGCCCAGCACTGGGAGAGGGTTCAGCCTGGCCCGCAGAGCTGCAGATGAGGGGAGTGGACGCTGGAGGGGACTGAGGAGAGGAGAGAGAAGAGGCCCGTGAGGACAGTGGCGGGGGGACAGAAAGAGTGACCTTTCCTTGTCTGTGTCTCCTTCCTTCCAGAGTGGAAGATGGCCCTCTTCCAGCCTGGTGAGTGGGTCCCTCTGTGTCCCCAGGACAACCCCCGAGGGCCCCTGCTCCCTCTTTCCTCTCCAACTGTTGAGTGGGACAGTTCTGGGGGGTGACTAGGGGTTCAGGTCTCAAAGGAGTGCCCACCTGCTGCCCAGATTCCAGGGACCAGGGACAGGTGTTGTGCTGGGGTCCACAGGTCTCTGTGGGAGAAAGAGGCAGGAGGGGCAGGGCTGGAGGAAGGGGCTGCAGGGAGGGGGAGGGGGGACCTGACCAAGCTCCTGCCCCTCCTGCCCCCTGTGTGTCCCCGAGTTCTGCCGTGTTCCACAGTCACTGCTGCTCTGTGAGGGCTGGGACAAGGACCGAGTGAGGAGGTGACTGTGTGTTGTCAGAACACCCGCAGGAAACAGACGGCCTGTTTGAAGGGGGTGTTTGTCTGACGGTAATGACCAGGGTGAGGAGAAGGTGTCATAAGACCTAAAAACGATGCAGACAACTCCTCAGACTGTAACAGACTGTGCTGTAGGCTGATGCACTCCCAGGGGTGCAGGGTCAGAGGACAGACACCGCAACCGTCTCTACAGGTGACTTGCTAACAAAACGGTTACAGTATTTTTTTTTAATAATATAACGGAGGCAGTAATGACTGACAGGAACAGGGACAAAGAATGGGGCAGCACCAGCCACACCTCCCGGTGGTCCTGTGACAGGTGACCCTTTATCATCTACACGGTCCCCAGTGTGGAGCTGACCTCGGTGCCCCTGTCACTCTGGCTGTTAGTGACAAAAGAGCTCATGGCCGTGTTTAAGGGACACGGATGACCGTCACCTGGAGGCTTTGGTGTGCTGGCTGAGGACCATGAGGTGGGTCAAAGGTCACAGCAGGAAGAGGTGAAGGAAATCCCTGACACAGAGATGGGGTTGGATGTGTCACAGTGACAGGTGGGGTGACATTAGGGAAACCAACCAGGACAGATGAGGCCCCAGGGCTCCCAGCAGTGGGGGCTGTGACCACCCCTGGGCCGAGTGCAAAGGGACAGGGAGGACTCCCTGGGGCCTGGAGGAGGCAGCGGGGGCTCAGGGGGGGCTCCTGGGGGGAGGAGCTGTGGTGGAGCATCTCCCTGGGGGATGTAGGGGTCAGCGCTGTGCCCCCTCCTCCCTCCTTCCCGTGTTCAGCCTGCGCCTCCCCTTGGCCAAACCCCACAGTAACCAGAGCCCAGGGGCCAGGGATGCTGTCCATGGAGGACTGAGTCCTGGGCCAGAGGGGGTGGGGCAGGTGGGGAGTGGACCCCAGAGCACCTGGAGCCCCAGCCTGGCCCCGAGCACAGGAGGGACACGGTGTCTGTTGTCACACCAGGCACTTCCTCTGTGCCCAGTCTGGGGCTCAGTATACCACCCATTTGTCTTACTCCTCCCCAGAGACCAGTGTTTTACCCCCACTTCACAGACATGATATTGAACTTGAGGTATTCTGTAGCTGGTGTCTGTGGAAAGAGAGACTGTGCAGGAAAGGACGTCACCCAGCTCAGGGGGCAGAGCCAGGGCTGACCTTTAATCCATGTGACTGTGCAGCACCAGCGGGCACCCGACTTTGGGACGGAACAAGGTAGAAGGAAGGTTTCAGATGATTGGTGGTTCTGAAGTGCACTCAAGATCCCTGTGGACTCTCTTGCCGTGGCTGAGGGTCATTTCCAGGGTGAGAGGGGGACCCCAAACTCTGGCCTCAGGCCTCTTGCTGAGACCCATCTCCCGAAGGCTGTAGCTCTGATGCCCGGGCACCGTGGCTGACCCCACGCCCTCTGACCCCCTGCAGCGGATGTGTTTCTGGACCCAGACACGGCGCACCCCAACCTCCATGTTTCTGAGGACCAGCGGAGCCTGCAGCAGGCAGACACATGGCAGGATGTGCCAGACAACCCCAAAAGATTTATGTGGTATTACAGTGTTCTGGGCTCTGAGAGCTTCACGTCAGGGAGACATTTCTGGGAGGTGCAGGTGGGGGACAGAGGAGAGTGGCTTGTTGGGGTGTGCAGGAAGGACGTGGAGCGGAAATGCTGGGTTGAAAGGACACCCCAGAATGGATTCTGGGTCATGAGGCTGTCTCATGAGAATGACTACCTGGGCTCATACAGACCCTGAAACCAAACTGACAGTTGTCAGCCCTCCTGAGAGGGTGGGGGTTTTCCTGGACTATGGGACAGGGGAGGTCTCGTTCTACAATGCCCTTGACGGGTCTCACATCTTCACCTTCCCACACACCCGCTTCTCTGGGCCTCTGAGGCCTGTTTTCGGGATTTCGGATGTGAAGCCCACTCCCTTGACCATTTGCCCAGCACAGAAAACAGTGAGGAGAACCCTTCTGCCTGACCCAGGGCCTGACCCTTCCCTGGAGACCCCAGTGTCCCCAGGATCAGCTGATGGGAATGGGGACCCTCAGGCTGAAGAAACGTCTCTGCTTCCTGCTGCCCCGCCTGGGGCTGAGGGCCCGTGAACAGCAAACCTCTCAGCAGGAAAACACTCACTGAAACCACACTGAGTGACGGACTTCACTGACACTTCCTCAGTTCCCACATGACAAGCAGAGACAAGGGGCAGGCGGTGAGGTCACAGGCCGCTGGCGACGGAGCTGCCCTCGAACGGCAGCAGCTGACACTCACAGGTGACGTCCCATGTCCTGGAGTCGTGCCAGAGTCTTCGTGGGAACCTGGCTGACCCTCGCAACAGCCCTGGGAGGCAGCCGCGTTTTGAAAGGGTGAAAACTGAGACGGGGCCAAGTTCACTAACACACGATTCGTGCAGAGTTCAGTCACCTGAGAGATAGGTGGCCTCTGCCCCTCCCTCTGCCTCTCATCTGTCCCTCTGCAGCAGCTGAGTGTCCCTGCTGGACAGGGTCACAGAGCCCTGAGGGTCCCTTCCCAGGGCACCAAGGGTAAAGGTCAGGTCATCACCACTGTGATTGTTCACTGTGTGTCCCCTCCACTAGCATATGGTTGTCATGTGTCATTTATTAAATAAATTTCTCATTAATCACCGTAGCTGGTGTGGCTCAGTGCATTGAGTGTCAGCCTGTGAACCAAAGGGTCACAGGTTCAATTCCCAGTCAGGGCACGTGCCTGGGTTGTTGGCCAGGTCTCCAGTGGGGGGCACATGAGAAGCAACCCCACATTGATGTTCTCTCCCTCTCTTTCTCCCTCCCTTCCCCTCTCTCTAAAAGTAAATAAATAAAATCTTTTTTAAAAAAATTGTCATTAATCTTCACTGTTCAATGCACTTCTAGATTAAACTCTCAGAGACAACTCACCACAGATTCATGGTTTAGCTCCTGGCAACATTTTCACAAAATCCCAATTGTATTGGTTTTGTGTTGCTGCTGTGATACATACCCACACATTTCCTCACCTGA